AAGTTTTTAAGAATGATGGATTTAACTGAGTGGTTGTGAGGGTGAAACGTGAGAGTGAATGGAATGCGGTCGGAATCTTCCTTATGCGACGTTTGTAGTGCTGAATGTCGATCAATAAGTTGAGCGCGGTGGTAACCCGCTTGAACGACGGAAACAGGGTAACCACGTTCATCGAAGAACTGGCACATTGACTCTGATTTGTGGTGAAAATCAGAGTCATTACTACATAAACGACGAAGTCTTAGAAACTGAGAAAAAGGGATGGAATTCTTAACGTGAGATGGATGACCGTAATAATCAAGGTGTAGAATTGAATAACGGAAATTGATGCTTACCCTCGTTAGGGCACTCTCCAATCGAGTCAAGACTACATCTGTTGCCGGGGTCTCCGTGGGCTCTGCGGTTGGCTTAGAAAACAAACGCCCTACTCGTGACGAATCAAATGCGAAACCAAATTCATCCCGTGCTTTGATCACTCTTGCAGTCTCATGCTTATTCTAACTTTGTATGTGCCATGATCTTACTGGCTCCCCAAAACAGCTACAGTCCTTGTCGTAATTCATGCAACACTCCTTTTCCAGATTCCCCCTTCACCCATTTTTCGATGTTGGATTTCAGAAATTTGTAACGCTTGCAGACAGTTCAACATTGAGAGAACAGCGAGGTATTTTAAGAAAATTTGAGGCGGGTTGTAACTTTGCTCTGATCGACTGTTGTGATCAGTTTGGACAAGAGCGACGCCATTTTGAAACTTGCTTAGCAACCTGGCCACCTACTTTCGCTGTTACAAAGTCTCAGTCATCTTTTTCCTACTCTTCGCGATCGTTTGAAGGATTAGAAGCTACGCAAAAATAAATTCTTTCTCTATAAAGTAATAAGAGCAGCGACAGATAGTAAACTGGGAGTTATGACTCCAGCGGTTTGGGCGTGTGCAGCCAGATTATCAGGAATTATTCTAAATAGCGGCGTCTGTAATCAAAATATTAATAGATTGTTGGAGGATAGTTTTTGAGCTGTTATGCTTTTCTCTTACAAATGTACCAGACATTTTTATTTACTACAGTTCATATACTTTTGACATACACGCTTTTTAATGAATAAAAGAAATATTACATGGTTTCTGGATTCTTCTTCAATGATAAAATCTGCATATCGTTTCATGGTTGTATAAGGGGCCATGATAATAATCTATGCATGAGAGAACTGTAATCAAGAAAGATATTTCCTGGACCGACTGAGAAGGTAAAAGCGGGGAACGGATCAGTAATTAAGGTCAAGTTTATGTCAAGGCGTATCCTGGCGATGGTTTTTGGGACTTGGTGAGATTCGTCTGAGTGCCATTTTTACCTCAGCACTCTAAAATGGATCACGGCATGGACTGAAACAACGCGACAAAGGACGTTAATTGTTCAAATAGCTAAAAAATGTTCAGAACGGCAGAAGCAATTATTTCACTTGTTGAATTTTTGAAGAATTCAAAGCGATTTTAAACGGTATTAAGATGTACTACAGGCGGTAAATTTGACAGGTTACCGCCTGAAAGGAGAACATTGCAACGCTTATTGAAAAGATTCAAAAGCAGGCGATTTTCCGGAAAACAATCTTGGGGAAGATTCAGTTGGACTTCGTTTCAAACATACTTGCTTGACGCGCTAATCATGTTATTGTCGCCCCTTACAGTTATCTGTATCCTTTCCAAAAGACCACTCCTACTGATTATACGTATTGAATTCAAATACCTTTCAAAATTTTCCCTAAATAGCAATCAGAGTGCACCAATTAAAACCCGTTGAATCTTTTCAAAGCCATCAATAATTTGGATTTTCAATTTTACCAAACATTTTGACCTCGATTAAGGTGGTGCCTATTTAATTGGAAGTAAAAGAATGGAGAGAAAAGGTTTCCGCATTATCGATTGAAAATATTTTAATCTGGCTACTTCACCGATAAACTAAGTTTTTTTCCTATGTTGAGCACCTATCCGTAATGAGAGCGAGATAACTACGCAAAATATGAATACATCAAGTCCTTGTGAGATCTCGTGCGGAGAAATAGCACGCAAATATTGTTCTAGCGGTCGGATATTCACTACAATTTATCCAGCTCTAGTTTGAAATAAATGCAACAGTAGGAAGTAAATTTTTGTTTTAATTTCTTTTTTTTTTTTAACCAAAAAAAATTCAGGAAA